TTTCTAGCCTGGAGGAACTTTCTCATTTACTCCCACTACCAATCCCTTGTCTGTTTTGCCTTTTTAGATTCTAAGCCAGAGGGCAAGACGTATGCTTTTTAAATACTGTGACCCATTTTAAGATACAAGATTTGCCTAAAAACAGGGATAAAATGCAGTAAAGTAATCTATAAAATTAAAATGAAGGCTTCTAAAATTAGTTTTTCAGAACCCAACCATCTTCCACAGTTCAGCTTCATGTTAATGTTGAAGTTTTTTTTTTTTTTTAAAAAAAAACATAAATTGGTAGTCATGATAGATTCTTTGTCTTGAGTGCACCCTGCTTTTTCCTAGCCAGGGCTAATGCTTTGCACCCTCTTTAGACATAACCATCAGATGGAGAAGCCCCTTGATACCAAGGCAACAAGTCTGAAATGATCTCTCCTAAGGGACTGTTTGTTCCTCCTGTCCCCTCAGCTCCCAGGATAAAATTACAGCTTGTCATAAGCTCTAGGTCTTTTTCTGAAGATGACTGTTCCAGATGGAACACAGTAATAGTGTTGTATCTAAATCATTACAGCCATTGGCCAAAGTGTATGTTTTTGGTCGCTCCCTTGGGTTTTTCATTAAAAGCTGAATCAAAACAATTTTTCTGAATTCTTTCTATAGAGTATGTGCCTTTACAGCCTCATGTGCACTTGATCTACTCAATAAGATGTTTTTCCCAAAGTGCCAAACTCTTTTATTACCTGCACATGATTATTTTTTTGCAAATTCTACTAACTCTGTTCCTGACAATAACCAACTGCTTAGATATGGGTAAAACAGAAGGCCCTATCCTCTTAGGAATATTCCTGCCCCTTCTGTGAACAATGGAAACATGTAGGAGGCAGTTAAAGACCAAAGGAGGAAATATTGAACCCTGTTTTGCCTCCTCCCACTTGAAAGTAAAAAGGCTTTTACATGTAGGTTTATGACTGCCAGCATGCATACAACTACAAATTAAGGGTCAAATCCTTAAAAATCCAAATCCAATACAATTTCTCATCCTCCTTCCTAAAATATAAAATTAACGTTTTATTTTTCACATCTGTGCATTTCCACAAATAGTATTATCACTAACACCACAGCCAACATAACCACTGTAATAGTAATAATAAAAAAAGTTGCACAAATGAAAGCAAATGTAATTAAGACATTCAATGGTTCAGGGATGTTTTTAATTAATTTTCAATTCAGCACCATGGCCAGTTCTGTGCCAGAATGGTCAGCTGTTGACAATGGAGCACTTAGGGCCACTGCTTTTCAGTCTGCTTGGCTCACATGTTGCCATCATCAACTTTCTTTCATTGTAAATGGCTGACAATCAGACACATTCAAGGTAAACTCAGTGTTTATTTTATTCTTTTACAAAATTCAGCACATGAGTATTGTGGACAAGGCTTTAGAGCCCCAAGGTTTTAGACTGTTTTTTTTTCTTAAACCACTATTTAAAATGTGATGCTCACTGAGCTTTTAAACAAATCCCCTGTCCCAGAGTAGGGAGAAAGGAAGGGCCATTTACTGTGGTTGGCATTCAGAATGTCATGAAACTGGAATATTTCCCTCTGTTTTGTCATCCTGTTGGCTCATCTTCTCAAAGGAAAGGAAATCCACCCTTGTGACAGGAAAAGCATACTGACTACAGCAGAATATCAGTTGGAAATTTTTATCATGCATGGTCAAGATATGGTGAAACCGATTTACTTGAAGTCCTGATAAAAAGACAATTCATATGATTGCTGATTTTCTTTCTTCTTATTTTCACCGGAATAATGATACATTAAAAGCAACAAGTTCATTTTCCCAGCAGATCAAGCATGAAATGGAGAATCCGATAGAGTAAGATTCAATCTAAGCTTTTTAACATTCTAAGCCTTTCCAAATGCATGTTTGGGATGATATTTAAAGTGATAATCCATCACCAGTAGATACTTAAAATCCAAGAGGGTGTATGTATGATATGTATTTTATAAAAGAACAGATGCTACTTGCTTATGTACCTGAAGCATATTATGGCTGTAATCTGGGTTTTCTCACACATGATAGAGGTCTGGGAGCATCACAGCTCACTATGGACAATCAGGGCATCCCTACCTATTGAGGGTGACAACTTGGATTAATTGCAAGCTATAGCACAAAGATAGATGAACTCCTGTTGCAGCATAAACATTCCAAGCTTAAGAAAAAAATACAACCTCAACTCAAAACTGATGCTTGAAACAACTGAGTAAGCATATGCATTGGAAAATGAGATAAGTCACATATTTACCAGGAAGTAATTTTCTGAGCAAGTAGCAAGAGTCAGAATAAGACAAAATATCATCAACACATAGCTACCTCCACCCCTAAAAGGCTTAGCTTAAATTGAGTATAATGAACAATGCCCTGAATACACTTAGGTCTGTATGAGCATGCTGACTAAATGTGTAAAAGAGTGGTCACAACAGGCCAGTCAAACTCAATTTAAACCAAACAGGCCAGTCAAACTCAATTTAATACTTCCAACTTGCCCTTCCTTTTGCCTTTTCTTTGGGGGGCATTCAACCACCTATGAGTTCAGCAGCATCACTAAATAACTGCAGTTTAAATGTAGGGCAAGGACCCACTTAAGTGAGGAATGATCAGCACATAAAGAGGTATTCTGTTACTTTATCAAGGACAGATCTGTGTTGTTCTCATGCAAATGAGAGACCATATATTTATGTAGGATTGGCCATTCCTTAAGACTATTATAGGACTGATAACTGTGAGCATTTGTAATTTAGAGTAAATGTTAAAAGGGGAAATAAGGAAATGGTTAGTTAATGCTGCCCAGTAACATTCAATACAGCTAAGCTACAAATAAGCAGTGCAACTCTACGGAAGTTGTGGCATTACCAAATGGTCCATGGGGGAGAGGCACATAGAAATTATATTCCCTCAGAAACATTTGTTACAGGGGCTGACAACTTTTCTAGATGCTATAGGAATATGTATGGGTAATTTATTATTTTCCCAGAAATAAAAAGAAAAAATTGAAGTGAAGACTCAAATAAAGTGAGGGGTTTAGAAATGACAACAGTTATTACATCCATTTTTCAGTTGCTCAAAAACCGTTTACTGGTGGTCTAGTTTGTGAAAGAGTGTACTGGAATGGACATCTTTAAAAATTAGCAACTTTGGGTATGAAAGGTCTAGGCACAAAAAATGTAATAGAAAGGTAGAAAGAAATGGAGCTTATACATTAGTTGAGACTCAGTCACACACCTACACACACACTGCCAACAAGAAATTTCCAGAATGTTTTAACAACGGCTATGAATGTAGTGAAAGTGAAAAAGGGATATAAGGAGGGAAAGGGCTAAGAAACTAGGCCACAAAAACCCTGTTGAGTTCATGCCTGTGTCTGCAGAATTGATCCTGGAGGTCGGAATCGATACAAATTCCATTAGCAAGCCAAAACCATCTCTTTGTCTTGAACACAACAGACCCTTGACCACATAGAAGGAAGGCAGGGGACAGAATATATCTGCACATGCAGGAGATGTAGAAGTATGGCAGGTTCACTGGAAGTCCTCATCCAAAGGATTTTGAGAAAGATATCACTCTTTTCTGTACTCCAGTTCAGCCTCCTTGCAGACACATCTGCTTCTGTTAGCATGTTATTCTGTTGGCACTATGCTCATAAGTAACATAGCTCTCCATATTTTATAGCTGTATTCACATGTCACATCGAAATACAAACTACAGGTAGTCCTCGACTTACAACAGTTCACTCAGTGGCTGTTCAAAGTTACAACAGCTTTGAAAAAAATGACTTATGACCATTTTTCACACTTATGACCGTTGCAGCATCCCCATGGTCACGTGATTGACATTTGGATGCTTGACAACTGACTCAGTGTCCTTGGGTCATGTGATCACCTTTTGTGACTTTCTGACAAGGAAAGTCAATGGAGAAGCTAGATTCACTTAACAACCGTGTTACTAATTTAACAACTGCAGTAACTCACTTAACAACAGTGGCAAGAAAAGTCGTAAAATGGGACAAAACTCACTTAACAATTTTGTCACTTAGCAACATAAATTTTGGGCTCAACTGTGGTCGTAAGTTGAGGACTACCTTTAGCAATCAACCAGTTTAGCTTCCCATGCTCTCCAAACTCAACCTGTGCGGTTAGTTTATGTTTCAATATGTCATGAAAACCCAGAAAATTGGGCCAATTGAATAAAACCATAGTCCAGTTAACCGTAAGTAAACTTGGCATGAAAACAGAATCAATAAATAATCTGTCAATCAGGAGCTCTGATCCGAACCAAAGCTTCCAAGGCCAGGGAGACAGTGGAACAGAGCTTTGCTAATGGCAGAGAAAGCAGCATCAGGATCTGGGAAGGAAAAGTAGAAAGGGGGTTCCAGCTATCTTTCCTCTGAGGCAGCAGCAGCAGCAGCAGTGAACCGTTGGGAGCACAGACAGGAAGTCACCGTGGTGTTGTCAGCAGGCACACAGGACAGGCAGCGTTCTGGGAGGACCTTGCTCTACAATGAGGTCAGTGAGAGAGAAAAGAAGGAAAAACCTTGACCATAGCAATTAGCTCCTTGGAGCTACTAAGGGAAACAGATGAGATCTGGGATTCCGGCTGAAGGGAATGTGTCATTTCCTCTGTGAAATCCCCAGCAGATCTTAAGCACATTAGACCAAAGAGCAAGCAGTTATAAGCCTCTGGTGACCAAATCCAACTTTCTCAACTGCATAACTTGATCACTGAGGAATATAGGAATTTCTTAGGTCTCAGCTTCCCTCCAAGCAAACATTAGGGCTGGGAAGAAAAGAAAAATCAAATAATAACCCCCTTCCTCCTCCTCCTCCCAAAAGGTCTTAAAAGGCATATCTAAAAACATTTTCATTTTAAATAATAATTAATATTTTTAAAACCCCAGTTATACCCTTGGCGAAACAACTTACTGGGGATCTAAAGAAAGTCTTTTATTTTATTTTTTCTGAATAAGTGAGTCAAAGCTGTCTCTTTCAATGGAGTCCTGTGCCATACAGTTCTGGCAGGCTTGTGTCCCAGTTGAAACAGAAAAGGGCCATCTGTCCCCCAGTTCATTAACCTTTCTGCCTTGGCCATAGGCCAGTTCCAGACATCCATAGCTGTGTCTTCTGTTCAGATGAATTTGAAACATTTAGTCTTGTCGTGTGGTAACCGGGTCTTGAAGAGAACCGAATCAACACGGAACTGCGTATACAGCAAGGGCATGTAGCCGTACACTTTGACAAAGAAGTTGATGCATTTGTGCCGCTCATGGAAATGGGAGTCATCATGAGAGAGTGCCTGAGGACAGCCAGGGCAACGGAAAGTCCACCGGGAAGTCACCTGGGCACAAGAGAGCAGGAAACATGATAGTATTACTCACGTTCTTGGGGGGGGGGGGACTGCCTTTTTCTCACTATTTCAACAAGCACTGACCTTGATTGGTGGTTTCCTAGTAATATGAGAAACCAGGAAGTTCATGGCAATATCCTCACAGTTGATATATTCATCTACCATATCACGGATGGCCTGTGGCATCACGTAAGAATACAGGTAGGCGTAGTACTACAAGCAGAATAAAAAATGAGCACACATTAAAAAAAGGGCTGAAAGTACGAAAATGTTACTGAATAAGCAGAAGCAAAATCTTTTATCGGATGAAATTAGATAATCATACTAATTTCACCCTTTAACCAAGATACACACCTATAATAAAGTTTTCATGACAGCTAACATATGTGCTCTGTAAGAGTCAAAGTGACATCCCCACCACAAATGGAAACTTGAATTTATTATCTCTAGAAACAACTTCTCACTGGAACAACGGAACTAGAATGAGTCTGGATATAAGGCACCAATAGGCACCTTGGTGTCCTCCAGATGTTCTGCTGCTCCATACTCATAACCTCCACGCAACATGGTTAATATCAAGGGATGGTGAACACTGCAGTTCAAAATAACAGAAAAGGCAATTGCTTCCATATCCCTCCTTTAAGTTATTTCCAAGCAAGGACAGGAAAAACAGTCCCACCAGCACTCTATATAGGCCTATTTCTTGTCCTGTGAACTATTTTTACAAAAAAGAACTGCTTTTAATTATTAGAGAAGACAGTTCAAATTAATGATTTTTTGAAAAAGATGATGCCATTCTAAACAATTCATGATTAAATAGATTAATTACAAAATATTTTATCAGATGAAGTTACATAATTATACTGTACAGATAGAGAGAAACAAGTAGTCCTCAACGTACGACCGCAATTGAGCCTCAAATTTATGTTGCTAAGTGAGACATTTATTAAGTGAGTTTTGCTGCATTTTACAACCTTTCTTGTTAAGTGAATCACTGCAGTGGATAACATGGTTGTTATATGAATCTGGCTTCCTCACTGACTTTGCTTGTTAAAAGGTCTCAAAAGGTGATCATGTGACTCTGGGATACTGCAACCGTCATAAATATGAGTCAGTTGCCAAGTGTCTGGATTTTGATCACGTGACTATGGGGATGCTGCAACAGTCATAAGTGTGAAAAATGGTCAGAAGTCACTTTTTTCAGTAACTTTGAACAGTCACTAAATGAACTGTTGTAAATTGAGGACTACCTATAGTTAAAAAAATAAACATACAGCCCAAGTAGATTGGAGTAATCAAGAATCCTAATTTTGTAAAAAAAAAAAAAAAAAAGTGGGGGGGGCACTGTCTTAGTTCAGTTCCTGCAAATGCTCTACTTTTCTACTCTTGAGTCCGTCAAATCACCAACAGGAGGGTGTTGCACAAGGTAGAGGCAGCCACAGGAAAGTTCCACTTCTCCACTTCTAAATCCCACTAGATGGCAAAATTGCAGAAAAAGGATCTGGGGTTCAATCTCTCTAGCTGATCTTGTAGGACAGAAAAGACATTCTTAGGGACAGACGGTTCTGCAAATATTCAGGTCCTATGCCCTATAGGGCTTTAAAGGTGATAAATAAAAATTACAAACTACTAGAAAGAGAGAGAAAGAGAAAGATTAAGATCAAGTTTCAAAAAAGAGAGAAGTTGCTTCAGAGATGCAATAGGCAATTTGTAACTCAAGTTCAATAATCCCAATGAGCAAACAACTCTATTCAGTCCAAACCCAGGATTTTGACCATACAATAAAATGTGGCCCTTGATAGGGAACAGCAACATACAAATTACTAGTAGCTGTCCTTCTTTACTTTCAACATAGAGTACAACAAAGCCAAACATACTTGCACAGTAACACATAGCACATAGAACTGTTCCTGGAACACACAGAAATGCTCCTGATTTCAATCTGCGACCAGGAGCATTTCAATTTCCAGACTACACTTGCTTTGGGAAACTGAGGACAAAGCTTAAATTCACCACAATTAGTAATCTTGCAGTGTTTCTCAATAGAACAAATATTTGGTCTAAGTCAGGGGTGTGAAACTGCCGGCCTACGGGCTGGTTTCATCATACCGAAGCCACGCCCACCCCATTGCCGGCAATGCAAAAAGAGTCGCGATACGTCGTGACACGTCACGTGACATGGCGAGTTTGACACCCGTGGCCTAAGTCATAAGAGATATAGTTCTCTCTAAGGACTTGCTCCTTACTTTGTGGAAAAAAGCAGCACCCGTCAGCACCATGGACAGTTCACAGGAGTAATTGGAGTTGTAGAGCCAGGACTGGTGAGGGATGTCCCATGCATGGTACCTCCCAGGGAATCCTACAATGCGATCCCGAGCTTCTCTCCAGACCCTACAAATACAAAGAAAATAACTTAAGCAGGCAGAGAAGAGGTGGAACATGTTGGACAGACAACAGAGAGAAATTCCTAGATCACAATGGTTACGATTATTGAATTATCTACATTACACATTTAGATTTTAAATTTTAGTTTAAATGGTTCTTCCACCCCCACTTTCTAGATTTGGGATGAATGGGCCTCCACTTTAGATGCATTGAATATTACTACAATAATGCGCTCAACCCTTTTTGTGAGAGAAACTGGTGAAGTGAGATAACATTCTGACTCTCTTTTTCATTGCTTGATTTTGAGCACAAATAACAATCAAAATTCTAATTATTTATTTTGGGAGTGAAACCTGAGACCGTCTCCTATCAAGACTATATTCAGACATTCCAACACTAGGACAGCGTAAAGCTTTTGAAAAAGGAGCTTCACAATGGCAGAAATGAATAGAAAGCACCTCTTTCCAAACCATTAAAGCAGCCACATCATTTTCAATGACATTTCTCTATCTTTCTGAAGCAGTTGTCAAAGCTTTGGAACCAATTTGGTTGCTTTTAACAATTTGAAAAGAGCTGCTTTTCTTGCACAGGAAATTTTATCCAAAAATCCCGCCTTCTTCTTGCTGTTCTATCTTCCAATATTGGCTTACATCCCTACCTGTGATATTCCCATGGCTGTTTATGTCATGCCAGCAAACAACAGGCTCTTTTAATAGTAGTATAAATAGCAATTTGTTACTAAAAATGAAGTGTGCTAAAAATGAGTGTCTCCATATGGTGGGAATTAAGAACAGAGAGAAATGCAATCTTTCAGAAAATATCCTATAAAATTGGGAAAGATTATTTTCAATTTTAAGGAGGGAACAGAGGGAAGAGAAGATAGTCAAGATAATTGCACTTGTTCTGTTTTAAAAATATTATAAATAGAACACATGCACACACCCTCTTATTATTGAGAAGAGGAAATAATAATAATGTATGAAGAACAGTGTTATAATGGCAAGTATGAAAGTAAGTTACACATTGGCTTCAAAATTCTATCATTCCCAGTCAGCACAGAAATGGCCAAGGCAGGTTAAGGATAACAGAAATTATAACCCACAATATCTGCAAATCTTGATAGAAACAGAAAATTAGTTCAGATCTGATACTAATGGCTGACGATTAAAAATTAGATTTCACTCACCGGAATCCAAACATGATCTCATCATGGCGAAGGTGGGCATCATCATCAATGGACAAAATGGCTTCTGTTTCAATCTCATCCCAGGGCAGAAACCGATTATTCAAACTGTTCTTCTCAGTCCGTACCACCTAAAAATATATACACTTTTAGACTTGTTTTTTGTCTTTACTTTATGGTGTAGCATGTTATAATGGCCATAATAGATATAATCACACCAGAATTTGTTTAAGCAGATATAGTTTTTTTTTGGGGGGGGGGGGTTATTTGCATAAAACTTTTTCATGGGGAAAATAGCAAACACAAAGTGCACAGTTTGAATTGGTATATATCTATTCAAAGAAAGATTATGGCACTCAGTTGCCAAAGATTTTATTGCCTCTTTCTGTCTCTTGGGGTCCTTCTTTGAGGGAGATGGGCAGTTCAGAAAATTGAAAAATAATTCAACAAGCAAACAAAGAAACAAATAGGGAATGGGAAGCCAGGGTTTGGCTGGAAGCAAAATCACTGATCTCTACTCAGCGTATTCTTTGTGAGTTCATCATGCTTGGATATATATTCATTGTAGAGCAACTATTTGCCTCCTTGGGAGATCAGAATATAAACTGCTGTTCTAAAATATCCAGTTCCCACTGCTAGAAGCATAAATAACTCTCTCCCACAATCACCAGAGTGAGATTTTTTAAAGCAAGCAATGCCTACAAAGAAAGATAGAGGACTGTGGCAATAAAAGATCATTAAATAAGAGTACCCTTGGATCCTGTCTAAAAAGAAATCCTACCCTGAAATTGTTAACAGTGGAAAATATTTATTAAAAAGAACTGGGTGACGGTTGATATGATTAAGATCCTGCATTAAGTCAACATTAGCCTTCCCCCCTGCCAACAGCTAACAGAAAGAAAAAGGGAAGCAGCATTTTAGAAAATATTAATCCAAAGCTGAAACATAATTAATTAGAAGGAAAAGCACAGTAAAAACTGAATGGTTAATCAATTCCTATGCTCCAATGCACAGAACTTCCCACTCTGGGTTCTCCTGACCTCTGGACATTTAAAAAAAAAAAGACATGCTATACTGTAGTCCCAAGCCTCTACTATTACAGCATGATCTATCCTCTGTAACAGGGGTGTCAAACTCGCAATGTCACGTGACGTGTTGTGACATATTGTGACTTTTTTTTCCATTGCCTGCAATGGGATGGGCATGGTTTTGGCATGATGCATCCGGCCCACGGGCCAGCAGTTTGACACCCCTGCTCTGTAAGAAGGATATGAAAGCGAAATACTTCCAAACACTGAAAACTAAGGATGAAATAATGGAGGAACTGTTACTTATTCAAAGCTCTATGTGCATCCATTATAGCCTCATCTCTATGAAGATTGCAAAGCTATAGATTATGTGCAAAAGATACACAATGCACATATATACAGTATATATATGCATTCATGGAACATAGCATTTGTTTTTTATAAGGAAATTAATAATATCATACAATCTTAAAAATATCGAGCTGTTCTTTTCTCAGCAATTATGGTGGCTGAGAGAAAAATAATAATTAAAAAGCAAAATTAGTCTTTATATTTCCTGCATCTTATACATAAAATTGTCTACACCACGGAGTGCATTCAGAGAAATTTTACATTTTAGTTCCACAGAGTTTGGGTAACCATCAATAATCATTATTACACTAACAACCATGCACCTATACAGCTATATTGATTTTTACAGAAGGAAAGAGTATTTACTTGGAGATATTTAAGGTGCAAAAAGCCTGTGAATCAATATGTTCTAGGGAAATGTCTCAACCAGTTATATCAATTCTCCAACTACTTTCCTGTGAAGACCACCATAGACAGAAAACACTGCTGAGGAAAAAGAAAGTGCTTTTTTTCTTAGACTATCTGAAATAAGCAGCTTGATACCAGAAAACAGATTGAGCTCATAATCCTGAATACATTCACTAAAAGTAAGGTCTGATTTAAATCTAAGATATTCATTTGGATACTATTTGCAATAATCTGCTATAATATACCATATATACTACACACAATATACAGCGAATACACTGTAAGAGATTAGTAAAACAAACAACATAAACCAAACCTGAGGATTTTGCTAGCTGAAAACCTTTTCTCTTAATATCTAGGTGACATAAGAGTCTTTCTTCTCCTCTCTAGTAAAACAATTACCTATTAGATAGGCTAATTAGAAGAATCAGTGAAACACATCAGGGATGAAGGGCCATATTTGACATTTGAGTAGAATACCATAGATCAGCTCCAAAAAGTAGATAGAATCAAACCAAACCTAACCTTAAATTGATTTAATTCAGATGTGACACTAAATATTTTATTTTTTGGGTACTGCATTTAGTACTTTCCCCCCAATATGACAGCAAGGTATAAAAGGGTTCAAAGAAATGCAGATAAGGATGTGCACTTCTGCTTTATAAGCAAGAATATCCAAATCAAGTTGTGTATGATTGGAACTTATCAAATCCAATCTATAGAAATCAGGATTTCATAAGCAAATTTGTAAAAGGTTTATGAGTATCCAGGTTTGGTGTTAGACAAGCTCCCAAGCAGCTACCCAAATTCTGCAGACAATATGACCATTGTCATAGATTATGGAAGTTGTTTACACTGGTGGAGGTCAGCTAGCTAAAATTTCATTTTGTTAAATAGGGCCCAGTGCTCAAGTTTGTTGAGATCCATATGGATACTGAGCCCATCTTCTGGAATGTTGACTATTCCTGCCAGTTTAGTGTCATCTGCAAATATGATGAGTTCCCCTTCTATTCCCTCATCTAAATCTAAATACCTCTCTAAGCAAAGATAGTATTGCTATCAATATTGATGCCATTATGGAAATATTTTTTTGGGGTTCTGTAACATAATTACATTCACTATATGGCTGCTTGGTGAATAATGGGATCCACAACTCTTTCACACTGAGGAAATAACAATCTAAAAGAAACAGCAAGGATAGAAAGATATAGACAAGTACCTTCTTTCTTGAAAAGCAAGTTTCTAACCTCAAAATAATTTGAAGGCCCAAACTGGACACAGTTATAATAATATCATTTTCAATAAACTAATATTACCAGTTAAAATAGTATTCAGTTTGGTTACATGGCTGATCATATATTTTTTTTCATTTTTATTCAATTAAGAAATTAAGCAACCAATCTTATCTATTAAGAGTCCTGGTGGCGCAGTGCCCACAACCTGGAGTTTGATCCTGACAGGGCTCAAGTTTGACTCCGCCTTTTATCCTTCCAAGATCGGTCAAATGAGGACCCAGATTGTTGGGGGCAAGATGCAAACAATGCTGACCTTTTAAACTGCCCAGAGAGTGCTATAAACACTACGGGGCAGTAGATAAGCCTAAATGCTATTGCTATTAATCAGTACCAGATTCTGGCTAGCCCAGCACTGAGCATGAGAAGAAAATTCAAAGGTAGCATTAAAACAGCATTTAATCCTGCCAATTCAAAACTCTGCTTCACTTGGTCCCATTATCATATTATCACAGGACGGTTTTTAGTGCTTATGTTTCAAATTAAATGTCAAATATAATTTCCTGCCAGAACAAGGAGCATGTCTGCTCCCTTGAAGGGGTTCTGACATGGTGACTCAGCATACAGCATCTCATTCCTGCCCCAAAACGGGAAGGGATATGGAGGCCTCTCCCTGTTCCACAGAAAATCACAGGCACCTGAAAAATGTCTTTGTTAACAAACCAAAGCAGGCTGCGCGCTTCCTTAGTTTCATTCTCCCCTCTTTGTATGAGAACAAACTGTTGGCTTGGATCACACTGCGGCAATTCCACACTAGCTATTGCAATACCAGAACTGCTTTCAAGAAAATAGCAAAAGAATGAAGGCAAGCATAAGTTCCCACAATGCCCACTACAAAGATGGGATCCACAGGATATGCCTCTTTGAAGCAGGGAACATCTCTAGTTCCTTACTCAGAGAAATAAATAGTGGCATGGTAGGAGTCATGCCACTTTGTCTTCTCGTAGGTTGAACCAACCAACTGGCAAGGACAAGATGCCAGGGTGACTGAAATGCTTCTGCCAACAGCAAAAAGGCCCTCTGCAGCTTGAGGGTTCTGAATGAGAGAAACTGGTGTTAAATGATCATTAAGACCATGATAACAGGTGGCTACCAGTCATGCCAGGTGCTTCTTTTTATGTTTTAAAGGAAAGCTGTCTCTGCAAAAGGTTGAGAAGCACTTCTTAAATTTGAAGTTCAAGGTGCACATGGTAATGGTGCTTCCCTTGGCAAAGCTTCTAAATATTTGCAAGAAAAGTAGAGTTACCAAGAGATTCAAACATAGTTAGTAACTTTGTGACGGTGTTTTGACACTCTTACTTAAAGCAAGGTTAATCGTATGATCACTCATTATAACTCATCACTTAACACCTTTATTGAAGAGGCTCTGGAGATATTTTTTTTTCTCTACTCTCGGATACAGACATGGGGTGACAAGGCAAAGATTGTCTGCATTAACAAGAGTTTAAAGTACAGAAAGGTCAAGAACAAGCACAACTCCATACTTTTCTTATTATGCATACTGTTTTGATTCTGGAGGATCTTATGTGGAGCAGATCCTACCTTTTAAATCAAGAGTCCTCAACCCCCAGTCCGTGGACCGGTACCGGGCCACACAAACAAGCAAAGCCCCATCTGTGGGATGCAGGCAGCACACAAACACCCTCCGGTCTGTGGAAAAATGTTTCTCCATGGAACCGGTCCCTGGTGCCCAAAAGATTGGGGACCTCTGTTTTTAACAACTGGGGAAGGGGAGAAAACAATACTCCTGCTGAAGGCAGATGGACAAAAAAAACCCTGTAAGCGGGCACAGGGGCACAAAGATGAACTGTAGGATTCTACCTTATGGTATGATGGTTAGAACATTTTCCTGAGGAAAGCAGGAAGACGAAAAATGGGAAAATTGATGGTTTGGGAAGCAGCAAGGCCAAGATAACCAAGATAACCTTCTGCCATGAATAAAGTGGAAAAATAGGGAAGAAAGAACAATGGTTATTTCTCACTGTTTTTCCTCATGCTTTCTTCAGTATGCAATCATTTACTGTGATAACCACCTCCTCCTCCCTTACACAA